TGTGGATATAATCTAAAGGTAGCAGCACAGACTTTTACATAACGCATAGTGTAAGAGGCAATCAACCAATCAGAATCCTTTCTGTCTTTCCAATTTATGGAAAAAAGAAACTTTTGTTAATTCTCTTATGCATTACTCGTTATCTGTTATACAAAAGTCTGTGCTGCGGCCTTTAATTTATTATTTAGTATTTACTAAGTGCATACATTAATAATGTGAAATTTTAATTTTATTATGCATACATTTTAATTTTATTATATATACATTAATGTCTGATATTATTTACTCTCAAACTATGCAATTTAACTACAAAATTAGATTAATTTATGTTTTGACATATGAAAATTAAAAATAACAAAATGTTATTTGATTCAAAGGGTTATTCCTTTGATACTTAGGGATTAATGGTTAACAGCAGAAATGTGATATCTAACAATATTGTAGTAAATAAGGCACGTATACGTTTACGGAAGAAATTGCAAAATGATTTATCAAATTATAAATTGAAGACATACTAAAACATGGATGTTAACCTCTTGTGAACTATCACAATATAATCAAATTTCATTCTTTTCGTTTCCTTATTCATCATCTGCAATTTGTAAATGAACTCTTTGAATATGTATTAAAATATGAGATTATTTGCAACAATGTGTAAATAAATATATTTTTCCCATCATTTTAACTTTCAAGTTTACGTTCTTTAGTTTTACAAAATATAAGTTAGCTCACCATTGCCAAGATTTTCTATTGGCTTTGATCTGACAAATGGTAAGATATCTTACCTTTCTCTTCATTCCATTCAAAAGATTTTCACATAGTATTATAACATTTATGATATATCATTTAATGATTTTAAAATAAATCAAGCAATGTACCGATTACGTCGGAATCAACGATTCTATATGCGAAAGAGTTGGGACTGTTATTCCGTTATGTTACTTGCGCATTAACACGATAATGATAATTAGTCCTCTTATCCGCGCGTCAACCTTCCAGCGAAATCTTGCAAATTATGTAACTCCGACATCACAAAGTTTCTCGAGCGAGAGTGTGCTACGTAAAATCTCACAGAGACCAACACGCCACGGTGGAAGCAGGGCACAGTGGGGTAAGAGAAGGGACACGAAAAAGTGTCGCCGCTTCTCAGCGACAACGGAACGACGTCCAATTTTAATCTCGGAATTACTTCCATTTTATTTCAATTTTCTTGCATTTAAACCGTCTAAGCGAGTTTACCTTCGCAATATCATTGCCGAGGATCGTCGCCGGCTGGTCGGTTCGGGTAGGAAGAAAACCGAGTGAGATGGAAGGGCGAGAGAGGGATAAGAAGAAGAACGTCGACGGAGATGAGCGGAAAAGGTGGAAGTACCTGCTCTAATAAATTTACGACCTAAAAAGATTAAGCCGCGTTAGCCCTGTTCTTTATATTTCCGCGAAAGGAGCGAGAACGAGAGAGCGCCGCACTCTCTCGCCGCTAAACGTGAGTCAGTTCTCGGTGAGATGGTGAGACGGACTGTTATGGTGAGGCGTAGGATGCAGAAAAAGAAAGAGAGAGAGAGTAGAAGAAGGAAACTGCGAGAAGGGTGGAAAGAGGAGGGGCAAGATGGAAAAGGATATATAAGAGATACGAAGGGAAATTCGCTTATTTTCCCATCATTTCGGCGTGGCATCTTGTCCGTAGCCTTTTCTCATCCACGGAGTCAGGAAAGAAAATTGCTTCTCGTTCTCGAGAGCGGAATATCGTCCTGATGAGCCCGGGAATGCTCCGATATCCACTCCCTCGCTTCCCTCTTTTCCCCTTTCCTCTTATCCTTCCATTCCTCTTCTTTCTTCTGCATCGACCTCCAAACCTCGAGTGATGCCTCCGACATTTAACTCAGTCTTCGTTTCACTTCGTTTCTATGTTTCTCTCCCTCCCCCCTCCTCTCTCTCTCTCCCCCCTTCCTCCTCATATTCTTTCTCTTCTCTTAAAAATTCACCGTCACTCATTTCTCGATAATAATATTCAATTTGTTTACATATAGTCATTTTGTTATTCGAACGCGGCGCTTCATTCTATTACCAATTATTTCGGAGGCGCCAAAGGAATTTTGCATCGCCTATTAATAAACAAATTTGCAACAACTAATCTTGAAAGCGTGTGCGACGAAATACTTTGTTAGTTTCGTATTATTACTAGTAAAGTATCTTGAATAATAATGTACGTTTATTTTTACGTATAAAATCGTAATCTGATGTGTTCTTATTGAAATGTGTGTGTGTGTGTGTGTGTGTGTGTGTGTGAGAGAGAGAGAGAGAGAGGCTTCATTAAAATATTGCTCAAGATAAAATGCATTTACATTCCTTAATTTGTAATTTCTCACTCTGCACTCAAAGAAAGAGATATAATGGTAGCAACTATAAAAGTGTGTAACATCTATATAAGTTTTATATATAAAACTAATGTTTATAATTGAATAAAATAATTTATTCAATTATGTACATCATAGTTTGATTTTTAGACATTAAATAGTTTGATTTGGTAGACATTTTGTCATTCAACTATATGCATTATGTCAACTATATACATTAATCGATTAATTTATATAACATTTATATATAATTGTCATCTTTATAATCGCTACTTCTATGTTTTTCCCGAAATGTAGAGTCATTGATGATTATGTGCATCAAAATATATGTACGCTATAATAAAAAAAAAAAATCGAGGTCACAAATAACTCGCGTACGAATTATTCTCTAACCATTCGCTGTCAGCTACCGTAGAGAAGCTGAATTCGATTGCTCAGCGTTATTTATCCCTTCTTAAGTGTTAGAAGAGTGCCGAAGCAAAAATCAAGATTCATCGATGGATCTCGGCCTGAATGGTTTACGCTCACTTCGCCGCCGCGTGTGAATTCGTCACGGACGGGGCACCCGGTGGGCCTTATACCGGGGCGCGTCTCGACCAGGACTGAATAATTCATAAGCCAAGATCCCGATACCATCAGCTCTTAACGCAATAGACTTAGCGAGCTGCCAACAGCAGCCATGTTACAATAAAGAAATCAACATGGCTGAGAGCCGTCACGGTGAACTGGGGTGCCCCCTCCGGCGTTCCCTTCCCTTCTTGAGTCCACCTTGGAAGCGCACCGCGTCGCGTTACCTCGCGTCGCTCGCTCACTTTCGATTTCGCCCCACGGGCTCGTTACCCTCTTAATGCCGATGGAAGGGTGGACCCTCCCCCCTGCCGCTCGCACCCTTCGATCTTTCACCGACCGACCCTCTTCTTAGCCCCCCCCTTTTCTTAGCCAACGCCGCTTTCAGGGTTGGACCAAAGAGACCCGCCCAAAGAGACATTTCTGCAACCCTCCTTTTGGAGCAGAAATCGAGAAATATGTAGGGAGGAAGAAAGAGAAAGAGAGAGAGGGAGGGGGAGAGATAAAGTCAGACGAAGAGAGAGTACAGAAAAGGGAGAAAGTTTTAGCAGCCACTTTTCTCGTCCTTTGCATGATCGCACCCCGTCAAAGGAACTCCATTTTCTATCGAACCTTCTGAATCTCTCCTCTCTCGCCTTATCCTTTTTTTCACTTTTGCTCTGACTTACTGTTACTATTTTGCTCATTTTCGTCTGCTTTCCTGCAGTTAGATTTTTGCAGATAACTGTTCTCTGTCGGTAAAAACAAATGTCCTTCTTAAATCGAAATTTTTCTAATTCAATTATAAAAGTGTGCTAATGTCAATCTAAAAAAAAATGTAACGACAAAGGATCATTCATGATTATATTTCCAATATTCGAATATTTATTAAATAATTCTAATGATTACAATATTACAAATGTGCACATGCACCATTAAAAAGAAAATTTTTTTTTTTAATCAAGAAATTTAACGAGCGAATGTTTTTTTTTATTAATGTATAAATAAATGTAGAACGACCAATCTAACTGTATTAAAATGTTTTGAAAAATATTTTATACACAGTTTAATAAAAACAACAAAGTAAAATTTAATAAGGGCGGGTAAAAGTAAAAAATCCTGCGCACGATAATTCGTACGCTCAAATTTACTAAAGCAAATTATATTTAATCCTTTTTACATCATTTAGCAAGACATTCGGACGTTTCAGCTTAATTTAAGTCGTCGTCAGCTATATCCGAAATTTAAAAAAAAATTAACAAAATTGTATTATTAACAATCGTCAAATAAAAGCAATTATTGAACTGATTATGTTTAACCGAGTGCAAGACAGTAATAAGGTTGAGTTTAATAAAAATCATATTGTTTTAACAGACACTTTTATTAGAGATATTTGTAATAGAATGCACTAACAATAGAAAGATCAAAATTCTCTCTTTTCCTTTTTTTCTCTTTCACTGAAAATGAGTATTTTAATATATAAATAATTTTAATATATTTTTTATTGTTCTACTTTTTGGAATTTCTCCTGTTATAAAATAATCAAATAAATATTTAAATAATACTTATTATAAATAAAATGTAAGTTATGTATGTAAAAAAAAAGAATGTCGTTTTATCTTGAAAAGTTACGATTATAGTAGTAATATGAGAAAATCATAGTACTTATTAATAATATAACAGAAATCAAACATTCTGCAAAGTCAAGAGCGATACTTCGAAGTCTGCTGTTGAGATCGGGGTGGGAAGAATGGGGAAGAAAGGAGGGTGGCCTCTTCCTCAAGTATACGGTAGTGACACGTTACCATTATCGCGTCTCAGCGGCTAATGAGAGTTTGTGCCGTTATTGTTCCCCGATTTACGTCGAGCCAAACGCTTTAGGGAGCTTAATGAATTTGCGAAATTATGCAAAATATTAAATATGGCTAATACGTATCAGGTCACTTATCAGTTGAAGGCAAGAAAAACGATAGAATTTATGCTCCTAAAGTGACCCATAAATTTATATTGAAGCAAATGTATATTCAAGTATATTTCATTGTTTACATTTCTCTCCACGTTTTTCCGATTGAACAATGACAAATTGTCGTTATGTTCCAGGTCTGGTTCCAGAACAGGCGAGCCAAGTGGCGTAGACAGGAAAAAATGGAGGCTGCGAGACTGGGTTTGAGCGAATACCATCACGCTGCTAATATGAGGTTTGTCTGAATGCTTACGTTAATAGAGATATCATATAAATCCTTGTAACACTAAATATATAAAACAACTACAGCGCGGAAATATTCCGTTTCAGGAATGTTGCCGGTCCAGCTCTAGGTCTGCCAGGGGATCCTTGGCTTGCGCCGCCAGGATTGCTCAGCGCACTTCCCGGTTTCCTCGCTGCACCTCATACGGGGTATCCCAGTTATCTGACGTCTCCCAGGCGATTACCATCACCGCCAAATGTCGGTGCTGTGCCCAACCCCGTTCCAGGTAACACTTATTTCTAATACATTCCGCTCTTTTGCCAAGCATAACATAGATAATTTATAATAAATTTAAAACATTACAGTCACAAAATTAGAATATAACAAAAGAAAAAAATAAGAAATAGTATTTATTGAGAAAATTAAACCCTTTATATCTATGTGTACACGATAGTTCTTGCAACGCAAAGCACGCTTAACCCGGGGATAGTCATCTCATTTCTTTTTACATAAACAATCACCTGAAATGTTTTTATGTCCTAATTGAAATTCTTATTATAAACAACATATTGTGCATTATTGATTGTTTTATTGGCATTTGAGGACATTATGGATTTTTCACAATTGTTTGAAAAAAAGGGAGTAAAACTTATCAAATAAATGAAACAAGCACTAAGGCTGGGTTGTTCCATCTTTCGTAAACTTCAGCTCACTGTCTTACTCTCTATTATTATACTCTTACTCTTTTACTCTTTGTTTATCCAGTAGGCAAATTACCACATAATTTATTCGAAGATAGTGCAACCGTCTCTTAGCAACTTATTATAACAATAATTCTAAAAAATGAATATTTTAATTAATATAACGCTATTTTATTGTGATTTTTTAAGGAATTTGCATACTTAAAGGCAAAGAATAATTATTAAAGAAAAAAGAAAATATGTGTAAAATGAAAGAAAATAGTATTCATTTTACAATAATTCACACTTTCTCGTCGCTGCACAGTGATTCCAATTCCTTTAAAAGGTGGCTTAACTTCGTTTTCAATTATTAAATTGCCATCATTATTTATCATAATTTTATACTATGTCGAAGGATTATTAAAATTAGCAACAAGAACATTTTTATATTCTTCTATTTAAAACAAATATTGAAAGTAAACAATCTTCTAAATTACTTTCTTTTGTAGCATAAGTTTTCAAAATTTAAGATATTTTATTATTTTTTTTTAAATATGAATGGTACGTAACATACATTTTTATCCTATCTTTTATTGTTCTTTTAATTTTGTATATTTATTCTAACAATTGAGATAAAATATGTACAAGAATAACCAAAGTCAACTAAAATAAGCATTAATATTTAGACTATATTTATGTATTTCTTTTAGTCTAATCGTCTAATTATTAAAATATCTAAAAATAAAAAACTGATGATGCTCAATTGAGACCTTATTTTTAATATAATTGAAATGATAATTTCCTTAAAAGAATTAAATTTCCTCAAAAAAAAGCACATCTTGCCCTCTTAGCTGATATCATAAAATATTTAATAGAGACATTTAATATGTTTATGATAAATAAATACGTGATATGGTGTCTGTGTGCAGATGTCATCACTCTAATAAGTCCCGGAATCAATCTTACGGTCAAAACGTCAAATGTTTCTGATAATAGTGATGATAGCGAATAATTTGTAAAGTAAGTTAAAAACATTATCATGACATATACATTATGTGCCTTTTTTATTATCTCAAATTATAAGAAGCATTTTATACAAAATTTATTAAAAAATTATAAATAAAGTATAAATAATATATAAATAATTTTGACCAGGTTTAGAGGCTTTTGGAACCACTGTGCGCTGGGGTGTAAAAACATCCCAGGTGACTATTCCCGGGTTAACGAGTTAATCAGCATTACGATAGCGTTCATCATGATCATTCTCATCGAGCATACCAACGAGAAGTAGAAATCGCATTGTTCGCAGGCTCGCTAGCCAGCAGTATGGCGAGCATAAGTGCCGGCGGCCACGTGCAACCACCACCGCCGAGTCCGCCGGGACATGATCCGCGTACCTCGAGTATCCAAGCGCTCAGGATGCGGGCCAAGGAACACGTCGAGAGCATCACGAAAGGTTTGCAGATGGTCTGAAGGTTAACTGAAGATACGCCAATAGTGCGCACCGCTGCCAGCCGTCCTGGCCTCGTGCTTGTGACGGCGTGACGAGTAAGCGAACAATCTTTCGCCCAAAGACATTCTAGATCAGGCGAAAGTCGCTTGAGCAGTGCGAGCGATATATCGAACGACGAGAGCGAGTTCGTTCCGTGATAGAGGGAAAAATCACCGACGGTGCTGGATGTGACGAAAGTACAAGAAGCTAGGCAAAAAAAGAAAGCGATCGTCCGTTTGTGTGTATGTGTGAATGTGTGCTAGGGAGTGAACCTGATTGAAAAAGGATCTTGTTCTTGGTACCAGTAGTTACCAATGTGGATGATCTAATGTACGTTGGTGACGTGTTAAATCAAAGAGATTAATATTGCGACTGTCGACGATCGGTGGGTATATTTTCGACGATTATAGAGACTATCTATATGATAATTGACAGATATCTATGATCAGTGAGTATGTGTTCATGATTGAGACACACAATGGGCTAATTATTAATGGGGTTAATTATCAACCTGGGAAATTGAGTTTTTATCTGACACAGCACGGAAAGCGTAAAATATGTCTAAGAGATTAAGGCATTTCTTAGACGTTTGTGTTATTTGTGATGTTTTTGATGTAACAATATCGACGGTAGTCACTAAATAGCCGGCTAATAAAGACTACGTTTTCAGTCTAGCGCAAAATTTTCGGGCATTTTTGCACTCGTATAAAAAAATTTGCTCGGGACTCGCTCCAAGTCGGCATTGTGCAATAGACAAAAGGAATTGTGTTGCGCAAACTTGTTGCATAGCTGAAGTGAAGGCAAAGACGATCAGTTTTGATCAACTTGCCATTATTATTCAAGATACGTTTATTACAAATATTTGTGTGTCGAGTCTTACGCTAAATTATTTTTCAAATTGTGAATAGAAAATGACAGATTTTGCCATAAAAGTTACGCGAATAGTTTTTAAAGAGCATAAATATTTGACTTAAGGTCGATTATGTATTACGTATACATATATGACTTTATATATTGTCGAGAGATCTAGGTGTACATTATTTAATTTTATAAAGCAATATAACGCCAGGCACAAATGTGCTGGTGTCAACCGTCACGAGAGTAAATATACATATAATAAATTTTTCAAATTTATTTTTAAGTATTATTAACTTTTCATTAATTCACTAATACGTGATTGAAGTTACAATTAGAAAACTGCAGGACATCGATTTCAAGATGCAGTGTGCGGCATTATTCGGTAACATCACAAACACCGTTACTCGATGCTAATAATTGGTACATGGAGAAATTGGTACTAACGATGATATCTTTCATAAAATACTTATATCATTTTATGGCCATCGAGTACGTGGACAAAAGTCAACTATGATGAAACGTGAACTATTAATTTATGTGTGCGATATTTAAATTATCACTTACGTACGTAGATCATTTAGAGGAATAAAAAATAATTATCGCTTTTTATTAATTATTAATTATTATCTTAGATATTATCGCGTGCTCACAGAGATAATTTAGATATTCTACACATAAACATTCAAATCCGAAAACAGAATCTGAATTGATAAAATTGAAAGGAACATATTCTTTTAATTTGATAATGATATATTTTTTGTTAAAAATTGTTAACTTCAGATCTCAAAGGATCATTCATTTATTCATTGCTTTCATTTATTTATCCTCCTCATCCAAACTACGCTTTGCAGTGCACTGACCATTCACGTCGCAATAAAAGAAGAAATAAAAGAGACAAATCGTTTCAGTTTTCGACAAGAAATATCGGTTTACTCGACAACTGTGCCTCATCGAATATCCTGCGTACAGCAGCAAATATACAGGATGCTCGGCAACAGGCAACATCCGTGCGAAGCGATGAGTGAAAAAGGACCTCGCTTGATACACCGATACCTTAAACGATCAATAAATCCGATCAAATCGAGTAACGCCTCACGAAGTGTGTCCGATTTGTGCTCGTCGGCCGAATATCTCCTCGCAACTCGAGGTAAGTTGCGTACAAACCTATATAGCAGAATACGCACGACCGAAGCACGACCGTTCAGTTAAACGTAAACCGGATGTCGGTCGATCGCCCTTCGAAACTCCCTGGATCAACGGCGGCGCTCATGAGCCTAGCAGCGGTCGTCAATCGTCGATCAGCGAAACTAGCAAAATATCTCTTGTAGAGTATAGAATAAAGGCGTACGGAAGCGAGAAAAGTGAATTTTGACATAAACAATATTCTACAGTATTAATACGTTAAGGCAAAGATTGTGCATATTATCTAGACGCCATCGTGGTATGTAAATTCCAAAAGAGAGAGCGCGGAGGAGGATTCGCCATTTCCGACCTCCATATTGTTAATTGCGAAATAAAACACGAAAATTTTTCGACTCACGATGTGCAAAATCATAAGATATAAGGTTTTATTCTGTCCAAATACAAAATCTTAAAAGCGTAAGTTGTATTAACAATTTTGCTACACTTCACGTGACTGTATACAGTGCATTCCACGTATCTTTTATTTTATGCTACAGGTTTTTGGCAGAAATAATAAGTTTTATGATATAAACAGAGATATTGAATGCAAAATTAAATATTTAATCTGATACTTAAGATATTAGAAATACAAATATGTTTTTAAATTTATATATTTTTATATATTTTTTATATTTGTTATATTTAGCAATAAAAAATTGACAATTAAAAGGATCTTCCACCATGGACAAGATACAATACATGGAAATCATAATATATGAACGGACCTATTTCGGTCGATTCTCTTTAATTGTCAAGTTTTGTTCGTTGAAGATGGTTTAAATTGTAACCGAAACGTTCCGATTAGTTAATATTTATGACTTTCAATTTATATGTCGTTCAGTTAATAAAATTAATACATGCACTTTAATACATATGTCATTCAATTATTAAATAGTTTTATCATATGAAAAATTGCGTATTATCTTCCGCAGCAACATCTAACGATCCTTTTAATCATCAATTTTTTGTTGTTGAATATTTTGTTGTTCGGAAGTCCTATTGTATTACGTTCATTATTATATTTTTTATAATACTCCTTGCACTAGGGATAAAAATTTGATCAGTTTAGCCTGTCATCATTATACGCAATGATACTTTATATTCTTATCATATTCATAACAAATCCTTTCCTTGTATAACTCAATGTTGAACTCGATATAAAGCTATTGGCGATTTTGACATACGTTGCACTCACTTACGATTTTGCAGATCGTGATTTTATAGATGCTTGCGCTCGGATCGTTTGCGAGCGACGATGATCAGCCTCCGCGGTCCGAGATATTCGTAGAGAACGAAGAAACGTAGTTAGAGCCACACTTCCCGGACGTCTATTTGTATATATACCCGCTCGTGACAAAATAAAATTCGATGTACATATTTAATCGTACCATATCGTTTGAAGACAGAACCTCCTTTATTGAAATAAAAATACAAACGATGATAATATATTAAAATGGAAAGGTAAATACTTTACTGTCTTCTCACCGTTAATATTCTCCTCTCCTTAAGTCCAAGATCCTTCATATAAATAAATAAATTTGTTTGTCTAAAGCCAAGTAAAAATTAATGGACACTTTAAAGTTCGTGAAATATCGAAGAAGTAATTTTATAACAGTGCATAATTTTATAAGCACTTAAAAAGAGAAACACTTGTCAATTTCCTAAATTTATATATGAAATTGGAACAAACATATTCTTTAACAATTTAATTTAATAACATTTTTTTTTGTTAAAATTTTTAACAATCATTAGCTTTAGAAAGCTTTCAAAGGATCATTCATTAATTTGTTGTTTTTATTTATTTATTACTACTCATCTCAAGCAGAGAAAATTTACTGTAATAATTCTTATTAGTAGATTGCATTTTTCGTGCGCTAGCAGCAAATCGATCTGAGATGTATACCGTGAAAATTTTAATTCCTATGGAGAAAGTAATACATATTTGCAAAGGAATTAACATATCAAAGAACGACTTTAATTAAGTCTTAATTCATTTCCAAAAAGAGGGAGAAAGAGGAAAAGAGAGTTACAACCAGTAGAAAGCTATCGTTCGTCTTTCTTCGAGTTTAATTAAAACCGAAGATTTGTTAGAACACGAGGAATCTGTTAACGCTAGAGTAGTCAAGAATTGGCGATTGTTTAGAAGAATAATTTTCTTTGTTATCTATGAAATAAAGTATCTATAAATTAATTGTTACTTTTTTATATGACAAATAAACAGGTTTTCAACATTTTTCTTAATTAATATTAATTAAAACTTATTTAAAAAGTAGCTGAAATAAATATAAAATAACTAGAATAAATATATTTTCATTACATTTTTTTAATCTAATAAATTCTAGAATAATCGAAACACTGAATTAATCATTCATATAAAAGATTGCAGTAAAACAGATCCTCAAAAAAAATGTGTTAAAAAAATGTTTGTAACACTTTAAGTAACGTTAAAGATTACATTCAATATCTTAAACGTTTATTTTATATTTTTCTCTCTCATCGATCAGGCCCATTGTATGAGACCAATCAGAGATGGGCCTTTTATTTCGGTCTGTCCATACATTCCCTGCCTGGGAATTTAACGTAGCGGCCGTTGCGATTTGATGCAAATGCGGCTCGGAAATTCCGTTTGCGCGAGCAAACGTGACAGCGAACGTGTGCAAGCCGATCATCTTTTTCGAGGGTGACGAAAAAGCAGTGGCGGGGCAGCGCCGGGGCGTGAAAGGATTCGGCGTTAACAGGCACCAACAACGGCAAGTCGATGGAACAATGGTGCTGAATGGTCCCCGGACGATTAGGTATTCCAATCGTTGCGTTAGGGGCTGCTGTGAAGTACGGCGGGGGTGAAGGAGAGAAAAGGCGGGTTCGCCGGCAGTGGGGTTGGCGGAAAGGGGGGCAGCCGAGAGGCCGGCGCGGTAAGGGGGATGCCAGAACTCACCCAATAAAATGGTAATTTCTGTTTGCGGAAGTTAACCATGCGAGCGAGCCTGGAGATTCGAGTCCATGCGTACTCCCTAACTCCAAAGACTAATAATACTCGAGGCAGAACGCTACCGACAGTGATATAGTTGTACAGTTGGAAGAAGGCACGGGGTAAAATCGTACGAGACAGAGAGAGCGAGAGAAAGTTCTCTCATGTGAGCGAGGGAGTTTGTGGAGAGTGCGAAACGTGAGTGGAAAAGTCGTAGAAACTCGGAAAATAGGAATACAGTTCGAGAATTCATCCTATTAAATTAAAGAAAACGATAGGAATACGAGATTTTTTTTATAATCTCGGCAGCTTCGAAATATTATTAATATTTTGTAAAAACTAAAAATACAAAAGAATTTTACATATTTATTTATATATAATTGAATACGCAGTTTGTATTAAATTTAATATATTTCAAGTATCCCAAACGATCCATCCAAATTTTTGTGTTAATTTATGAGACAAATATGTTAGGAAGTAATAAAAATAATATTAATAAAAATATTATTGGTATGAAGAAGTAAATAAAAAAATATAACATAATTTGTAAGCAAATTGTAAAACCATACTTCAGTTAAATTAATATTTATAATACGTTAGATTAATGCGTTTCAGAAATTAACATTTATAATATGTTAAATTAACACATTTTATTCATTTACAATAATTTGAAATTTGCATTTCAAAATACACTATTTTTATGTTAATCGTTTACTTAATCATAAATCGCATTCTTTTAACTTTAAGGAATGTTATATATCATTTTGATATAAAATGTTCAAGCACATTACGTGAAATTAATCCTGAGATATGTTAAAAAACCAACACAAAGATTTTAACACGAACTGATTTCAACACAAAATATTTTCTACTATATAAAATAAATACAATGTATTCATAATACAAAGAAAGCTAAAATTCGAGATTAGACATTCAAATATTATGTATTTTAAATATAAAATTTAATTACATCTTAAATTAAACTTTTGTTTAATTTAGGATAAAATTCATAATAATTTACACATTTAAAGTCCAGAAAGTTTTCTTCGCAAACCAATTATAGGTGCATAGTGTATATCAGTCGCAATATATTTTTATTTCTTTTTATAATCTTTTCTAATAAAGAGTTTTTTTATTATCAAATTAAGACATTTGATTTGAGGATGTCAAAACTACAAAGCAACATATTTTAGAACTTGTAAGAAAATTTTTTTCTATCCTTAAAAACGTTTTATAATTCAATTAAATGCAACTTGTAAAAGATCTCGGGAAAATTCCAACTGGATCTTGTTCTAGATGAACAGACCTACAATTTGAGAAGAGCAACGACCTATTTGAACGTTTGAAACTTAGCTAAACTCGACCTTGAACTCGAAATTTAATCATTTTTTTAATCATTAATCGGGTTATATTTCTTAAGGCATGTA